CCCCAAAACCCCAAAACCCCAAAACCCCAAAACCCCATTTAAAAATTTAAAAATTGCACAAATTTTCGAAATTAAAATGAGACAGAACGGGTACACTACACAAAGAGGAACAGCAGGGAACCATAAAAAGAAGGTAATATTTTAGAACAATTCTGATTTGAAATTTGTACAATTTATGTAAACATCTCTGAAATATAGACGAAATATCATAAATCTAGCAAGAGTAGCTATATGACGACCCGAGAATACAAAATTCCTGATTCCTCGTACCAAAACATCATCACTAATTCTCCAAATTCTACCAATAGAGTAGGACCTACAGGATATAAATAAATCGAAAAGGAACCCTGTACACAAAGGTATGGTACTCCTGACCCTCAATAGCTTCAAGAATAGTCCCGAGCTCGAGCGAAATCTCTCTATGATCAACAACATCTCATAAATACGGTGCTAATTTCAATCTGAGCTCACGGTTTGGGAAGAAGCCTCGTCCTCACAATAACTTGCTTGGAGCAGGCATGAACTCTAAGTGCATACAATCCCAGAAGGAGTTATCACAGAGACAGAATTTAAACAAGAATTCAAAATTATCGACCACTTATCGCTATAATGTTGATGACAAAGCCCTCTTAGACCTGAAACACAAGGTAAAACCTTGTCTTGACATCTATAGTGCTCTTCTCAGAAAATATTAGACAAAAAGCCAAGGTATGAAGCCACATATGAGATGTCTGATACTCCGAATAATCTAAATTACCTCCAGTTTAAACACAAATTTGAATATTCTAGGCCAAATACAGGTAGGGAGTCCAAGGAAATATCCCCTCTGCGAGAGATCAATATGTCAACCACTGCTCCCAAGAATGCTGATTACCTGCAACATAAGTTAGGATATACCAAGCCTTACAAGAAGATCCAGTCGAGCAAGAATACCATTGAACACAAGTACCCAGAATATTTAAATTTAGACATAAAATCCATAAGAATAGCTCAAGAAATAGCAAGAATAACAGTGAAAAATAGGACTGTTAGCAGTAAGTTCCAAGACTAAATTTAGAGAGGAAAGCATCTGTCTCTAACCCACGCAAGAAATTGATTGTGAAGCAGTCAAGTTATCGAAAATTAGGAAATGAAAAGCCTAGCGGAAGAATGGTACATACTGCTAGGATAAACCTCACACAGAATTCTAAGAATACATCCAGTTTTATTGAGTCTGCTAGAGCTCCTATTACCAATCTGAAGAAATACTCTTGTATTGCTGCTAAAGAAGTAACAACAGGCTGCCAGTCGAGCAGGAACAAGATTAATATGAGTAAAAGTGATAAATGAAAGAGGTCTTCTAAAGACACAAAGCATAATCACAAAAGAGATTCTTCTAAAAGAAAGAGGAGCAAGAGAAGAGAAATCCTAGAATACCTCGAAGACTGATTCCAAAATGATGACCATGAGATCTCTAGTGAGAAGACTTATAATGAACGACTAGCAATCCTTCAAGAGTTTCTTGGATACCTAGAGGAGAAGGACATTATTAACAAATAAAGTACTCAATAATGCTGGTGAAGTTGAGAAATTGATCAAAGGTTTGATGAAAATAGACCTATCCAAGATATGTGCGAATCAAAACAAAGACCAAGCACAAAGTAAAAATTACCATAAAGAAAATAATTACTCACAGGAGAGAGAACCAGAGAAGAGAATCAATAACTATTTCAGAGAAAGAGAAAAGCATTCGGTGATTTCACCATCCCATAATAAAGAAAATATGAACAGTGATAATTCTCTTGTCAAGGCAAAGAAGTCTTCTAAAGCTGGAAACCACACTCGGAGGTTAAGCCAGCACTCTCAGGTTGAAGAGCAGCCAAGCAAGAACTCTTATTATTTCTCAAGCCATAATAGGAACTATTCTACTGGAAGTATTCTGCAGCTCAAAGAAATTGATGGTAATCAAATAATCAACCAAAAAGTTGGGCATGAAGGAGGGAATAATACCCATCGAGCTAAGGATTATCGTCCTTCAAGTGTGATTTATCAGAGCGAGTATTCGCTTCATAATACACAAAAGAATGAGATTCCAAAGCCGGTTATATCTGTCTCTAACAAGATGAACAACACAAATATGATGCCAACACCTGTGTTTAGCATAAAGGAAGAGCAAAAGTACGAACCAGCTATCTACTGTTCTTCAGATTCCTCATCTACAGTCACAATGGGTAAATAGTTGCACTAATAATATAGTTTACAACAGAGGCACAGCTTCATCCTCAGGTTCAGCAGATAGAAACTCTAGGAGACTTTCTGAGAATAATACTAAGAGTAAAGATAGCCTCAGAAACCAAAAATTCAACAGTATCAAAGAGGTTGATGAAAGTTCATCAGATTATGAGGCTGGGGAAAAGACCATTCAAGCCACATTTAATAAATATAACCTCAACGATAATCAGAGCGTTAGAAGAGTTCAGGCTAGGGATAACTTACTCCAAGATGAACAACCCCAAGATGATCTCTACAACGAAGAGGATATGAAAACTAAGAAGAACTACGATGAATTCTACCCTGAATATGAGAATATTCAAAATCTTCATGACTCTTTGGAGAACTATGAAGCCCAGTCTTCAGTAGAACAGAGAGGGAATCTTTCTAGACGTCCTAGAGTTTCTTCTACAGATCAAGAGCAGCCTACTATAATCAGGAATAAGTCACAACCTGAGATAATTCCTGAATATGACATTACAAGGAGAGTACCTTATGATAAGATTCATTCTAGCAAAAACAAGAAGATTTCTGATTTCAATTATGGAAAATATTCTGACAAGTACTCTCTCACAAAGAATTGCAAGTATTTTGGCCAAATCCAAAGGAACAAGCCTCTAGCACAAGAAGTTAATGCCAAAGCAGAGCAGCAGGATTCTTTGGAGGAGAAGTTTGCTGATATCAAGAAACGCAATCACAGAAGAGTGGCATCAGCTAACTACAACTGTGCTAAGATTTTGGCTAAAAAGATCACAACCAAGGACTCTCAGAAGCAATCTCCTTATAAAGAGGAGAGTAAGAATGAAAGCAAGAGTAATGAGAAATACATGTACAGAAATTATATCTCAAACCGAAATCCAGTGAATTTGAAATCATTTAAAAAGCAGCAGAAAAGACAAAGCAAGAAGAGAACTTCTTGTCATAACACCAAGGAGACTCAATCAACCGTTTCTAAGTTGAGCCTGACCTTGAGTGATTCTATCATGGAAGATAGAGAGAAGTTGGTTAAGTTTATCAAACTCTACAGTAAGAAGCATAAAAAGATCCCTCCAACATCTCTAGACTTCTACAAAATAGTCAAACTTATTGGAAAAGGAGCTTTTGGGAAGGTTACTCTGGGCATCCATAAGCTCACTGGGAAACAAGTTGCCATAAAGACAATTGAGAAGGAATACATGAAGGATGAGTTCTCTCGAAGGAAAGTTTTCCAAGAGGTTTACATCCTCAAGAAGACCCGACATTCTAACGTCATCAGGCTTTTTGAAGTCTTTGAATCGACAAACCACTTCTTGATAGTCATGGAATATGCTGGTAGAGGAGATCTACTTCAGCATGTCAAGAATAAGGGAAGGTTAAGAGAAAAGGAGGCAAGGCATTTCTTCAAAAATATCTTATACGGATTAGGCCATTGCCATTGTAGATCCGTTCTCCATAGAGATGTTAAGCTAGATAACATTCTGATTGATGAGAAGAAAGGAGTGAAGATCTGTGATTTTGGAGTATCGAAAATTATCAAAAAGAATCAGAAAATTAATGAGCAATGAGGTACCCCAGCTTATATCGCACCAGAAATAATCGCTGATAAGGGGTATTATGGTTTTTATGTTGATATCTGGAGCCTCGGAATACTTCTCTACGCTATGGTTTGAGGTGCAGTTCCATTCAAAGCTGGAAATATGCAAGAGCTCTATGAGAATATTATCAATGAAGGATTCTCCTTCCCTGTCTGATTATCTAAACCAGTAAAAGATCTCATCCGTAAGATGTTAAATAAGGTCCCTGAAAAACGAATTTTAATCCCAGACATCTTAACTCACGAATGGGTGACTTCTAGCGAAGATTTTGAAATTGATTATGACGAAGAAACAGAAAATACTGAAAGCGATCTTGAAAGCTCTGCCTTGCTTTCCAATTGTAGTGACAAGAGAAGAGTGTAAGAATCCTGTATTAACAAATTTAGTGAAGACACTGACGGAAGGCTAGATAACTTAGAAACAGAAGGCACTGGTCCAACACACGAAAATATAAACTATGTCAATGTTGACAACTTATTCTACAGCAAAAACTATGAAAATAAACTTGGCTATGACGATTACAAGTCATTAACTGAGGACTTTGCCACAATGAATATTGAAGAGAATGCTCTTGAAGTTATTGAAGGATTTGGCTATCCCAGAAGCCTAGTGAAGAAATCTATCAATAAGGGCGAAATGAATCATGCAACAACATGTTACGATCTTCTTGTCAAGTACTAATCAATGAATTATTAAATTCTAAACTAAGTTATAATATTCAATGAGAAAATGCTAAAAAGGGGTTTTGGGGTTTTGGGGTTTTGGGG